GAGGAACGAAAACCGTGTTTACATAAGCTCATGTAAAATGGTTTTATGGCCAATATGAACGCGCGTACTATTTGGATTATTTTATAAATCTGTTTAAAAACACTGCACTACATGATCACAACTGAGAACGAAGCAGTTACGCTGGCGGGCACACTCAAATAAACCAACTTGATGCACGTGACAGGTTCCACGCTTCTGATTGGTTGGGAAAATGGTGCGAGCGTTTCTGAACCAATTACAACATTTTTTCGACACTTCACTGGAAATTACTCTGGCTAAAACAGACTCAGGCGCATACACATAGTCGTCTTCCATACGTTTATTTAAATTAAGTTCACACTTGATACATAAAAACTCCACCTTTAGAATATTTTTCCTTTAGCTTTACAACTAGAACTCTATAAATACGGCATTTGAAACTAAAATGCCAAAAAATAGATCAAATAATCAAATTACAAATATATTTGAAAATGTATCAACACGCTACAAACACGCTATCAAACCAAGTTCGTCTTATAGGGATGAATTCCCCTTTTCGAACTCATTGTTTTTGAATTGGTTACCGGGTGCTTTTCAGCAAGAATTTGTGTCTGCTTGAAAAACATGACAGTAATCGAATTAAACTCCTTTTAAATAGCTCTAAAGATTTTACTGAGGTCAAGTTGGAAATTCTTGGGTTCCTTGTAACGCCTGCGCTATTAAATTAAAATGTTTGAAGAACAAGGCAAGATGAACAGTTAGATACTGCTCGATAACAGTATGCCTTCGGGCAAAATTTCAAATGAGTGTCAAGAAACTAAAACCGAAGTAATCCCAGGGACCAGTCAGAACAAAGGCTTATATTATCATTAGCCAATGAGAAATCAAACTGGAAACAAGCACACAACTCGAAGCGCGGGAAAACGCACATGACCAAGTCGCGATTGTTTTTTATTTTTGCATCTAATTGATTGAGAGGAAGGCAAGAAATTTCTGGACCAATCAGAGAGCAAAGTTAAAAATTCAAAGCAATCTGGGGTTACTTCTGACACCCAAATGAAAATTGCTCTAAAATCATGAAATACGAACGTAAGTTAACAATAACTGCCATATTAAATCTACCCTTACTCAACTATAAATGATAATTCCATGAATATAACATCTTAACGTAATCACTAATTCACACGCAAGTCCTAATTGACTCTTAATTACATGACTGCATATTTCACTTATTCCTTAAGATATTTCATCTGCATATTACTGTGAAAACTCTAAGGATTATTTAGGCAATACCAAAGCTTGTTGAATGAAGGTTCATGCGATTTTCGACTTTCGATTTTTTCGACTGCGCTGTATAGTTGGCTTTGAGAATCGGTCTCGACAAAAAACGCCCTAAGTATGTATCAGTTCTGGTCAAAGAGAAACTTGAAATTTCTTTTCTTTAAGAACAACAGCTTTGAATATAATCAACACTCGGGAAAGAGTTCTTCTTCTTTCCTCGTGCAGTGGACTTTAAAAATCTTTCAACTAAAAGGGTACCAAACGAGGCGTTTACTTGCTCTAAGGTTTTCAGGGTTTTTAAACGCAAACACTAGAAAAAAATATTCTTAATTAAGCTTACCAACACAACAAACTACACAAAGCTTCTTATGCGAAGGAAATCACGCTAGTGCAAACAGATGATAAACTCGTCCCATAAGTAGCAGTATCGCTGATGTCACGGTTGTCACGTATGTCATTCTCGTCACGCACGTCCGATATATATCAAAAACATTTTTCAAGTTTCATCTTTAGCCATCCGAATTAAGTATCTCCTACCTAAACCCACCGAATCGCTTGTGTTTCTGATTTAAAATCGTTTCTTTTCGTGCTGTGTAAGAAACCTGCCTTCGTTGACAAAGTCTCCTTGGTTTTTTCCCCAACCAAAATACTCTTCCGAACCGTAGTAACAACGACATGACTTCTTTGATATCAGTACACTATTCCGCTGTTCTTGTTGCTTTTCAAAACTTATTTGGCAGTCCAACAATCTGCATTACCTAGACCTAAAATACTTTTTTAATATAGTTTTTTGACATCAAACCTGACATGACTGATCCTGAAAATTTTCGTGAGGATTTAAAGATCAAATTGAAAAAAAAAAGGAAGGAATGTTTTTGAATAAGTTTCAAATTCTGTTTAATTTTCTCGTTCATGATGCTCAGCGTGCGAAAATTCTACAAAAACAGCTTATTCTTTACTTCTAAAAAGTCTCTACGACTATCTGGACATTTATGCACATTAGTGAAATGCGATTTCGTATTAAATTTTTGCTGTAATCCCGTAGCAATCGAAAAATACATCCGCGTGGAATACTGAAATCGCGGTCAAAGTCTCCTTTCTTTTGATACGTATCAAACACATTGGGTTTAAACAGTTCAAATCTGAAGACTTTCTTCATATTTAACAACAAGTTCCATTGATCAAAAGACTTAATTTCAGCGTAAGGCGCCATATTTTATGAACATAACTACGCAATGAAGAAATAAATGTAATATAAAAGATTCTTAAGAACAACCTCGAAGCTCAAAGTTACCAGCGAAATTATGATGGCGCCAATAAGCTGTAAAAAGGTCTGCGAGTTCGGAATTAAATTTACTCAAAGCAACTCACCACATATTGTTAATCAAACTGTGTAAATAGGGATGTATGGACATTTAAATTAGGCACTCAAATATAATCTTGCCATTATTCAATTTCGCCTTTGATTTAATTCATTACAATTTAGATCAATTGTTTTCGCTTCATATGACAAACCCGGAAGGTTAGCCTTTTTCTGTCCGGATCAAACCTACACTTGTTGTCATATATCAAATAAAACTTATTAATTCAATTTCTCCTTGAATATTATTAACCCCAAAATAAAAGCGAAATAGTACCAACGATATTAACAATCTCTGGATCAATATCAGTACCTGGGTAACTGCCCACCTACCCCTCCCCTAACTCAACAACAGTCAATTGATTACAAGTAAGGGTTAATGTTGGGTTAGGGAAGGGGTAGGTGGGCAGTTGCCCAGGTACTGATATTGATCCCAATCTCTCTTGCGTATGTAACATCTTACTGACAATGGTAAGACTTTTATGGATAAATGGTAATCAAATAAAAGATAGCAATGTTTCATTGGTCTATGGCTGTTCATAGAGGAAAAATTCGAACGCAGTATTCTTAAATCAAGACTCTCGTATATGACGATTTTCCTCGCAACTCGTGAATGTAATTTCATGTTTCCTTCCCTATACTTTTAAAGATTATGAGTCTTTTTTTTTTTGTAAATTTGGGTTCAAACACATTGTTCTTACAAAGACGCCGCATTTCCTGATTTAGTCGGGCTTCGTAAACAGCCAGGATACATTAACTCAGCGATATTTCGATCGATTTTTTAACATTTGAACACCCGATAAAATAAGATTAGTGGACTGGACTGAAAGATTCATTTGAAACTGACAGATTACTCACAAATTACTTATTATGAGTTTTGAGGAGCGCTTCATATTTTCCTCTCGCTTTAACAAATCGTCAATTTTCTTGGTCTGTTCGTTGTTCCGGCAGATAGCAACAAACCTGGATCCATTTAGGGGTGCTCGACCGCGTATCTCCCGGAGGGCTTGGACCGGGCTTGACGGATCCATATGGAACACCCACTGGGGCTCAGGGAGGTCCAGTCCCTCCTCGGCTAAGCTTGTAGTGACGACAATCTGAAATTTTCCCTCGCGTGTTTGTGCGACTGGGTCTATTTCCAAGGGATAAGTCAGTCCTGTACGACAAAACAAGATATACAGTCAAAACATTTTTAAAAAGATTCTAAACAAACTTAACCTCTCATCTTGAAATAGAAATGACACAAACTAGGAAGTTCATGGTGTTTTAAAAGCGTTTAATTTTTTTTCGATAAAGCTCTAAATTCAACGGGATACTCGTAATCAAACAAGCTTTGTTATCACGGGAAATTCTCGAAATTTCCCTACTTTTTTTACTTGAACAAATTTGTATGAACGATAGCAGATGTTTCTAATTTTTCCCTTTGAATTTTTGCGCGTGAAATTGGCGCCAAAGTTGATCTACTTGCACATACCCGACGTTTGACCGCGGAGATCGAAAAAATATGAGAACAAGCCCTCACCTTTATCCGCTGATCTGCCAGCATTTATGAATGTGGTCCTTACACCGCGAGAAATAAGCTCGCCTTGATTTGAAAGATACTCCGACAAACATCGTGCAGTGTGTTGTCGTTTGACGAGTACCAGGGCAAGACAACTGCTTCGACCGATAACTCCGGTCCAGTTTATTCTCACTAACTGTTCCATGAGCCGCTCTGCTCCTGAGTTTCTACATTCAATGATCGATGGAAAACCTGCGGAAGACATACATAAAATTAATAGTGCATCCCGAATATTTAGATCATTTTGTGTGCATTGAAATATCTAGAACAAGCTATAAAATTTCCTGACTTTTCACGACTCTACTGGGGCCCTTTTAAACGTTTTCCAGAGAACTAGAGTTAGATGGAGAACTAACAACCATTATAGCATTATATTTCTTTTCTAGTTGTTCTAAATAAAATAATAACATTTCTGTTCATTTTCCAAGACTGATTCCACGCCTCTATGGGAGTGGAGAATAACGCGTCTTTTGTTCGTATGTAATAAAAATGAGTCTTAGGCTCACGGTTCATGTCTATATTATAACCAGTACCATTACTATGCGATTCCTTTTTTCGAGTTTCCATAACACTTACTGACCCTATTGCAATAGAGAATTTTCAATTGAGTGTCGACCGTAATCAGGATTGCTTTGTTTTTTCCCTTTTTCGTTAAATGATTGGTCCAGGAAACTCGCGCCACTTTCTCAACCAATCAGAATCAAGTTCTCATTCAAGTTCTCATTGGTAATATTTTCCTTCCTATGATGGGCTGTTGTGATTGCTTTGATTTTGGTTTTACGATACTCAATCATAAGGCACTCTAATGGTAACAAAGGCTAGGCTAAGTAAGGCGATAAATAGTGATACCTAGAGTTAACGATAGCACACTTCACCTTGTCTGAGATAATGCTCCAAATATGCCCTGACTTCGCCGCAGGGAAGACCCATACTTTCTGCCCAATGGAAGCCGTGAGGACATGCCTCTTGTGCAAGCTCTGTCATTTGATACAACGCTATTTGTTCACCACACTCCTGCAAAGTGCATACAGCCTCACAGAGCAGCTGGAAGTGAAGCAAGGCGTTCAACGCGTTGGACTCAGGTTGCGAGAGTAAGATATTGTCAATGACACCAAGAACTGGGTAGATGTCATCGAAGCTGAACGGACCTCCAGAGGAAGGTTGAAAAATGTCTTTGAAGTCCTTCATGTCGCTCAAACGAACGGTCAGGTTGAACGCTTTAGTGACATATTTCACGAGAATTTCCAAGAGATTACTCTCTTGAGTGGTGTACGAAGCAGAGATGCAGTCAGGAGTTGCCCTGTTGGTCTTCTCTTCCAGTTCTAGCCCATTCCTCGTCACGACTAACAGCTCCGCCTCTCCGAGGTTTCCCAATAGCCTTTGTAATCTTCTGGTGGTTTTTTCCAAAGACGTCTCCCCAGCTGGAGATGCTGTCAGTCCAAGGATCTTGGGTCGATGCCCCAGATGGACATCTTCCTGGAGATAAAAGTCCCGAATAATGACGTTGTAGGGATGATCCTTGTTGCAATGGTGTGCTTCATCCAACACAATCAAAGACACGTCATCAAAGCGAAGGGTGCCATTATTCAGATGATTCCGATAGCAGTCGGCTGTGATGATCAGCACGTCCTGCTCGTAAATGCGTGCGTTTCCCTCCAGTTTCCTCATTTCCCCGCAGACCGCTCCAATGCGGATAGACCTGGTGCTCTCAAAAGACCCTCGCTCGTCTGCTACTCGAATATGTCCCAGTTCCTTTCTAAGGTAGTCGCTTTGTTGGAGAACGAGGAGAACTCGATCCACCAAGAACACCACTTGTCGAGATGGGTTTAACTTCAGCATGTGGGCAATGACCTGAGCAGCTACAAGTGTTTTCCCCGTTCCAGTTGGTAAAAAGCAAACACCATTGGTCAACATAGCTTTTCTATACAACTCTAACTGGTAATTAAACGGCTGGGTGCTTGTGAACTGCTCCATGAAAAATTCCTTGGGGGCTTTGATCAGTGGCAGATGTTGCTGTGGGGGTGCTTTTTGCGACTTGGCCACAGTCTGTTCGTGTCTAGCGCTGTTGAAGTGCTCGTTGGCTTGCGACTCGGAATTCAGGTTCACGTTGCAGAACTCGCAGTACTTCTTGTAGGAAGTCGGACTAAACTTGGCCACTTTGTTTTGATGCTTCGTAGTGCGAAGGTGCTCCTCATATTGTGATTCCGAGGCAAACGAAAATTTGCACAATCTGCAGTAAGTCCAAGAATTCTTTTCAACTGGTGTTGGACTGTGTCCATTAGAACGCAGCCATACCTTCTGGCCATCGATGGCACGTGGGGCTTTCCTTGGTCTATTATCGTATCCAAGAACAGAAAAATTCCTCCTTGGTAGGCCGTAGAGTTCTTCAAAAGAACCCCGTCCAAAAAACTTCTTGTTTCTTTCGCCACCGATGACCCCTGGACTCGCTCGCCAATCACAGGTAGGTTGCGAAATCAAGGCCCATACTGTCGTCCCATTGGTTTGGAAAGCTTTGACACGTTCCTTGGTATGGAGTGCACAAAGCGCCTGGTGAATCTCGTCCCTTGTCCCACGGCCCAAAGCTTCGACAATCTGCAAGGGTGCCAGCGGTTCATGCATTTGCAACAGTTGAAGAATACTTTCTTGAAGGTCTCCAAGTTTTGGCTGGGATCCCAAAGATCCTTCTGGGACATTTCTGCGTAGAATTTGCTGACGTCCGTTCAGGTTGGAGCCTGATGAAACGACTTCGCTTTCGGAATGACTCCTAACGGACGCCCTTTGAAGGTAGCCTGGAGCTTTGCCATGCAAAGGTGGAGATTTCGATGAATACCTTTCAAGACTTACATCGGACCATCTTCGAGGAATTGGGTCTGCGATACCCTCCTTGCCACCAAGTCTGAAGGCGAATGATGAATTGAGACCCGAGAGCACTTGCGAGTTGATAACGTCGGCTGTGCCCTGTCTCTCGCTGGTCACACCATGTCTTGGAGTTTCAATTTGCTTCAGTTTGTCGCTTGTCTGCAAGAAACACACAAAATCTTAACGTTTGCGGAAGTGTTCTCTGTAATCGTCCAATCTCAGAGGAAAAGTACGTCAACAAAAATAAATCGATACTATTCGCACCTATGAACTGTTTGACGAAATTGGGATCAAACGCATATCTATTGTTAGTACAATCTACGCTGCAATCTGATGAGCCAACTACTCACTATCCATTCCACGATGGATAGATGTCAAGTGAAATGAATTACCTAACAGTGTGACGCATTTGTATCATTATTCAATTAAAACACGAGCCTCTCTTATGTTTATGTTTTGAAAGACTAGTAGATTAATACGAAGATCATGATAATTGGATTATTGATTATTGATTATTTGATTTCTATGCGTGATAGAGGATTTAGGTCTCACCGTCTTCGACTATCACGCAATAGAGAGCTCGACTGAATTCATGATTATCGAGTCAAACATTTGGAACAAGTAGAATTTACATGAGCAGACACAAACATAATCTTGGTCACTTGAACCCTTTAACTCCCATGATTTCATCAGAAATTCTCTTTAATGTCTGCCATGATAGTTCTTGTGATGTTATTTTGGAGAATTTGGTATTGGATCAACTAAGAATCCCCTAATTGATATTTGTTTTTATTCTCATCACTTGTCTACTTGATAGTGTATTGATATTGTAAGGAGAAATTCTATCTTGGTCACTCACTGGAGTTAAAAGGTTAAGACATGTTCAGCTTTCATATCTGTACGAGTATGGTTGAATAATCTCGCCTGCAGCACCTTAGGGTCACTTTGAGATAGATTGTAGAGGTTACGTGTTGTGAAGGCCGTTTTAACCTGGATGGGTGTGGGGTGCGAGGAGGCAAAGAGAACCCACATTTAGGGTTGAACCACAATAGAAATCGTATAGAACAAGTTATGTTTCAAACTGTGGCCAGACAGAGAACTAAGCAAAGAGACAGAGAGACGTAATGCACACAGCGAGGGCAATAAAGAGAGAACAAAAGAACCGCGCAAATTAAGCTTAAAAAAAAAAGCATCACAATGGAGATTCCGTGTATCTACCTCTGGAGTAAACGGGAATAAGCCGTAACTCAAATTCTCGCCATTCTCAAAATCTGAGCCGCTTCGCTTCTGTTGCCTCGGGGAAGACTTTGGTCTCCCGTGACCGACCGTCAGTTCTGGGCTTGGTTCACGCTCCTCTGTTCCATGAATACCATTGCGAGATATTACTTGGTAATCAACATAACCATTGCTTATGGCTGTTACATCATGGGTCTTTCTGAGGCCATTTGACAGCCCAAAGCTAGGAATCCCATTTGTCGAGGCAAATATACCATTAGTGAAGAGCTCTGAATTGCTTGTTGGAGCAGAACGAGCTGTAGAAGGAGAAAAAAAGTTGTACACTCATGTTGATCATAGATGTGTTCTCTGACTAAAATACACTCGACGCAATTTAGCTTGAGCCTAAACATTAGATCTTTGTTACCAACATTTTCGACCACTCTAGTCTCGCCATAGAAAGATAGTTCACCTTGGGAAGATTGCGACAATCGTGATTCTTAGTAATCAAGTCGCCTCCAGACTAACGGAGCGCTTTCACTTTCTGGTTCAAGTTCCGGGTTTCAGGAGCTAGAACTTTAAGATGAGATATCTAAACTTGGAACTACTGCAAACACAATGACTCTTTGTATCTTGCTAAGGGAAGATAATTCGCGATGGAGAATTCTGGTTTTGAGAACTGAACTACACAAACCTCCGCATTTCATGAGCGATAACATTGTCCTCTGACCTCACCATCCCTCCATTACATTTTTGATAATAAATTGTGCCTAACACTTCCTATCACGTCTCAAAGCTCTTATTCCGACAAATCACACTTCCTGTTAGGCTGGATCTTTGCTTACAGATTTCGAAACATAAAAATAGCCTTTTTAGGCGCGAAATTTCGCTCTTATATTTGTGCGCGGAACTGATCTGTTCTGAGAAGCGAATAGTAAACCACGAGGAATTGATCCATGCTTCCTAAACAATATAAGTGCATAATTCTGCTCCACAGGAAAATTGGTATGTTTACTTTCCATTAGATCATTCATGCAGAGCGCGAGAAGAAGCTTTCGCAAACGGCTTACCGTCAAAATGTTCACAGAGAAAGATGTTGACCCAACGAAATGCTCTGGTAGCGCATTTTGAATAAACGAATAAGCCGCCTCTTCTGTTACAACAAAACGCTCTTCCATCTTGTATCAACATTAAATCGAATAATTTCATTGTATTAGACGAAAGGCTAAAAAAAATCGGGGAATTTAACATAGCTTTTAGACCAATTCCACCCAAACAGAAACATTTAATTGATTATGAAAATGAATGGCTCTCTTCAGCAAGGCGGAAGTTTTACTTTCACTTTAAGTTCTTGTTTTTCCATTCATGAACGATCATCATTTAAAACTCGACTGCATCTCAAACTACTTTCCACGTAACTTAGCAGTAAAAGAGCCAAGCCACGCCAAGCGGCAGTAAACAGGATTGTTTCAATGAATTGAAGTGTTCATGGCTTCGTCGAACACGAGGCATCTATTAACTAAAGCGAGCCATATAAAAATACATCTTCATTCATGGCTTGCGAGAAAACAGTAGCAGATAGGATTGTTTCACGCCGGTATATCGAATACTACTCGAGGGTTTCTCTGAAAGTATGAAAGAAAAGGTACTTCAGAGATCTTCCAATTACCCTCTGGCGAGATCGGTAAATTTTGATGCAAACAAGCTCATCAAGGGTCTGTGAAATTCACGCGACCATGCGATTTCTAATTTTTCTACAAAAGCCCTTAGTTCACGGAATCCGACGAAACACGTTCTTATCTTCATCGCTTCCATCCTAAAAAAGATCTACAAAGGAACACGTACGTCGACTGATTTGACTAGCGGTTACAATCTCACACGACAACAACGTTTTCCCACCCGTAGCTTAAAAAGGAAAATAACGAGGACCCTTGAAGAAGTCATTCATGGCAAACCGAGTTACATATATACTTACTAAAAGATTGTTGCTCATCTCTTGAAGAGCAAAAGGAGAGGGTAAACCTTTCCAAGTCCATGCTACCGATGTTTAACCCGGCCGATCGATCTGATTACGAATGTAGTGTTTACGGAATTACACTCAGACGTTTCTTAGAAGACGCGGTTTCTGGGAAAATTATTCTGTATATTGTTACCAAACAAACATAAAAATTCAGAGAACTATTCAGGTGTGTAAGATTTATATTTCGCTGATTTTGATAACAATCCTTTACAGTAGCAGGAGCTGAGTTAAAAGATCCTAAAGCCGCGAGAGCTTTCCACTGTTAAACCAGTCGCTCACTCACAAATAAATCTTCTGATACAAACAGTACACACGCACCCACCCCCACTGAAGTACAACGATCTTTGTTGGGGAGGGGAGGGCGTATAACACATGGAACATCTAACAGCTTCATCCGAGAACATTTACAAACGTAGGATCAGAGCGAATCGTGCACCACAGCCATCTCTGGGGCCGATTTTTAAAAGACGATCAGGAATAATAAGGCAATTTAAATCTATTTTTGTCGGAGTGGATCAAATTTTCAGCTTGGAAAGATAACCTGTATTGGTAATAAGAGCATCGAAATTTACTCAACGATTTGTTGTCAGTTGTACATGGCTCATTATCATCAGTTCGCTCACCAGAATGAATTTTCAGCTGTTTAGAAGATTTGCGTAGGCCCCATTTCTGCAAGTTTCATGGTTTCAAAGATTTCCTTTTCCTATTAGTCGAGCAACGCAGCCAAACTCAAATGAAAGGAGTGAGATCATTTTCTTAAGAAGAGGAGCAATTTATCATTAGGTGCTAAGAGTGGAATAAGCGAAAGCGCACGGATAATAAAACAGTTTGTTACCTGTTCCATAACGTGATTATCAATTTGCAAGGTACTTGGGCAATAGACGTCAAAGGCCCAAAGAGCTAAATGTAAATTCACAACCGATATGATTAAAAAACATACTGATTAGTTCGAAAACTGCGCCTCATAAAAGCTTTTAAACGTCTCCTTAATCCTGTTTGTCTCATTCTATTGTTTCTACATCCGTATGACGCTGTCTTGGTATTTTGTTTTTCCTGTTAGATCAAAAAGATCTGGAACAGGCAAGGGGCGATCTGCCCAAATCTGGCATTTCCAAATGCATTCTTGGCTTGATTCCATTCGCAAAGTATGTACTCGTAGGAAAAGCAACTCAGGAAAGAAAAGCACTTGGAGGCCGGCATAGCTGAGAAGAGTTGAGCATGCGTAAATAACGTAATTCTGTCGCAGGGCCGACCTCTTCTGTCAATCAAATGGCCAAATAAGGAAAAACGTCACACGTTTCTCTTCACGCGTCACGTGAAGAGAAACCAATGAGGGCTGCTGCCCCACCCAGAACACAAAACAGCTTTGGGCGTTTTTATTCATGAGATTTTGCGTTTAAAATTCATGCTAAATTTCTGCCTAGTGAATACCTGGACTGATCCGCATTTGGTTTAATGATAGCATACTTTGGCTCTTGGTAAACATGTAAAAGCTTTGCAGACCGAACAAACGTTGACAATTCAAAGAAAAGAAAAGTGACGCAAATTTGCAGGGAGTCACAGAGAAACTATTAGACATGTTTCACAGCTGAAACTCATAATTAGCATTTTCGTGTTAACTTTAATGAAGTGCATGCTGAGAATTGCCGAAGGCGATGCATTTTGGGAAGGATTAAAGATGGCGTTTGCTCCGAGAATTCAGTTAACAAACAAGGCAAAAATTAAAACTATCCTAGATCCTTCTACAGAGTCTACTTGACGCGAAATAAACTGAAACATTTCATTTCACCTGGCAAGAAGGATAATTAATGCTGATTTAATTTTGCATGAGAGAAATTTCCGTATAGGCTCAAAACCGGAATAACTACACGAATATTTACGAAAGCAATCTGCTTTACTTATCGTGCAAGACGCACCTTTAGTCTCCAATCGCAATAATCATGAAACTTCCATCGGTGCTACCCGTAACACCTTCAAATCTTTTCTCCAACATTTCTCCCAAATCTTTGATCACCTTTGCAACGTTTTTTCCAAGGAAATTATACCGGACGATAAACAATAAACTTCTGCACTGTCATTTTGTGCAATATTCTCTTTCAATCCGAGCAAATATCACAAATAACAAGCTGATTACGGTATTGTTAACGCCGTCTTAATTCATATTCGTACAAAAAGTGTTGTTTCCCAATCTCTGATCATTTTATAGAGCACAAATTATCTATGGCCTTATTCTACAACTTCAAATGATAAATCAGAGCTTAAATGAGATTTTAAGACGCGACAGACGGTTTTCGATAATGTTACTCTGTAACCGATAGAATAATTACGTTAACGTCATAACAAACATGAAGGGTTTGAAGTAATATGCAAGGAACTTTTCTGTTCGTGCGCAGCGATCTTATTATGTAAGACAATAGAAATCTTGACACTAATTCCAGTCAGACAATGTTTTAAATAATTGTTACGTAGCGAACGCATCTTCTGCAGTGGAGGTAACACCGAAAATATCCACAACGTAAACAACACGGGATTTTTCGAGATAAAAACTTCATGAGTGAGCTGAAGTCCTTAAATTCCTTGTCATAATTCAGAGAGAGGAAAAATAACAAGCTGCCAGGTTCGTTTCTCAAAATTACTGGTCGAAAGGTTACTAAACCTAGTTTATGAGCTTATTATGCTGCATCTAAGGAGACCCAGGGACTGTGAGTTGATTTCAAGGCAAGGAGGGAGAGATTATCATTATAATTATTATCTTTTTCGGTAGTACTTTCACAAATTTCCATTATTATTAAAATCATTTTCAATATGATGATGTATCCCTATTACTTTTGTTTCTGTACGGCTTCACCTCCCTCTGAACTGAAGAAGTCGAGGTACAAAAAGTCTTAGCATGAACTTCTAGAGTTCAGAGCAAATTTGAATTTTCGATACGAAGTTTTGAGACCAGAAACGTTTTGTACGCTTAGGAAAAAAATCCAGGAACTTTGATTCTTATTATTAAGCAGACTTTTCATAACGAAGAGATACAGGTTTAGAAAAAAATATACTGAAGAAATTGAAATTGAAACTAAAAACAAGATATGTAAACTTGAAGGTCAAAGACAAAATGCTGATGGTTGCATACGGGATTCCTCGGTTCGTGACAACCCCGTGACAAGCTCAGAGGGCAACCAACAAAGAACTTTGGTATTTTCACGTGAAACAGTGATGACAAGTAGCTGGTAATATTGCTGATGCGTCCCAAGTTGTACGTGATGTCGTGATGGCTGTGCTATTTTGGCGGGAAAAAAAAAAACTTTGTTTTGGTTTAGCTGGGTTTGTTTCGCCAAGAGGTCACATGCCCAACCACGGGACTGAGTCATTAAAGGTCATCATTTTTAACATCAATTTTTGCGGAAAAAAAGAGGAAAAAAAGTCTTAATATCAGAATGAATTTGCAATTGCACCCAGAGAATCGAAATTTGTTCTTGTTTCGAACCAAATGCTACATCGTTCACTTTGACAGAACGGCAATATTTGTAAAGGAAGTGGAGATCAGTCTGTCGAGGGGATAACTTGAATAAGCGCTCCAAGTAAATACAAATACGTTTTATCGTTAGAATGACATATAAGAGTATAAAATTGACTCTCTAACAATAACATGGACATTGAAACCATGAGATCTGTCTTTATGGACTAGGGAGAGGTTGCATGCATGCAATATCCTGGCATTTACAAGAGCAACTTGAAAGTATTGCACGCGTAATTCTCGAGGAAATTATTGCCAGTTAAGTCCTAATCACGAGAAGAACTCGAGTCGCGTTTAAACTATTGTTGAGTTTTTCCTGTTCTCAGTGTTTGATTATTCATTTGATATTCAAAGTTTCTCGAAAACCAACGTAACCCGCTTGTGTGGGGCGATTCTTGAAAACAAACAACTGCAGGCCACATGACCGAAATCGAATGTTTTGAAGCGTATTCGGTGTTTCAAATAGTTTCTATACCCTTAACACTTGCTGAATGAAAACGCTCCGAACTCACTCCAGGCGGAATATATAAAAAAAGAAAACCGAGCATTAACATTTCCGTTTCGAAAGACCTCACAACTCTAATAGTTATTTCAAAAATCGATCTTCATTAGATTTTTTTTAGAACTCCTACAGCTTTGCGCCTGTTCTACGCCTCTACAAGTCAGAAGTCAAACATTGAAGCTATTTTCAACTAAAGCTAGTAGCTTTAGAATGAAAACCGATGTTGTCAACGGGTTATTGAATAATCGAAGCCGATGTTGGGAAGGAATGTTTGCATATGATTGTTGTTGGTTTTTTTTTTAACCAAACAGTCGCAGTGCCTCTTTACTTAATACAAAGTTTCTTCAGAGGTTCTGCCGTAGCCAATTGAAGTCAAACGAAAACGACGTCACAGACTGCTCAAACTAGATGAAACCGGCTTCGAAACAAGATAAATTGCGGTTCAAAATTAAACCAGTTCCAAATTAATTGAAAGGGCCGCGATCGACAGAGAGATATGGCGTTCTCGCAGCCAGTGAATAGCACAGACACTTCTGCGCTGAATTTTTAAAGCTTTCACAAATGTTGATTCGATTTAGAGCTCTTTGAAATCCTAGTCCGTCAAGGAAAGTTTACAACTTAAAGCGGCGAACGAATACCGCGCGTCAACTCTGCGAGAACACGGAAGTGGAACTAATTTACCTCGCAAATTAATCTTAGGACGATACGGCACGCAAGCGGTTTAACTTACGCTCTTCGTAACATCAACCGGAGCAGCTCACCTTCTAAAATGTTCGCTCTATCGTCAAATCCAAACGGTTGAGGAAAGCCATTGAAAAACTTCGCCGTTTGCTGACCACAGCTCTTGTCAAAGAACGATGTACTCTCCATAAAATTCAACATCTTCAACTGAGAATTCGTGTTTACATCAAACAGTTGTGGAGAGTAATGCAGCGCCATGACTCTGTATTGAGAAAATAAAAGTGTGAAAACAGTTTCCCGTCCGCGCTGAGAACCGTTACAAAGCTGCTTATCGATTGCGCCGATTAACAAAACCTTCCTACACGAGACAGATTTTCCGCATTAATGCTCAAATCATTTATATCGATCAATTTTAAATTGCAAAACATGTCTGTGACTTGAAATTAGTTATGAAATCATTGTAGCAGCATTTTGGACTAGCGGTTCTGTGATTCTAAAGTAAATTCTAGTTCGTTGTACGATCATTTAACTAATAGAACCGCACCAATTTAAATGCGAAATTTTGTGCCAAAAAGCTGTGTTCCTAAACATATGCCAGGTCAATTTTGCCTTCTAGTGTAATTATAAACATTGACTGTGAATTCTGCGACGCGGTTGTCACGAATAGTCGACAAAATATTATTTAAACCATGGCAATAATTCAGCGATTTTAGAAATTACTCACACAAAATGGCAGACCTTAAACCAACGTGAAAATCTCCTCGATCAAGTTGGTGTGCGTTGGTTTCGTTCTTTAAGAGAGAGGTACATCACATGAAGTACGCGTAGCATTTATAGACAGTCGAAGGGCAACAGAGATCGTCACTTACTAGCGTTACGCTTTCCAAGAATCGCACTCAACTTCCGTTTTTCTCAGAATTTGGATGAAGCAAGCCACGCGTAATGAATTATACCTATTTCACACAATACAATATCAGGTTGTCGAGTACAAAACAAAACCTTCAGAAAGACAGGATGTCTAAATACGTGACTGGAAATTCGTTTTTTTATCGGTAAATTTTACAAAA